GGTTGTCACAGTCAGGGAAACACTTTGTACATGTGTTATGTGGCTATCAAATGGCTGTAAGTCTTCCTCACCATTAACTACTGAATGTACAGAATATGCAGATTTTCAAATGTACAGACCAAAATGTGTGAATAAACAAATGTTTCTGGGTTGTCAGCTGTTTGCTCTAAAGTTTGTGTGTGATATACTTTATTGGAAGTCAAAATGTGAGTTTTTAAAGGACTCCTTTTCAGCCTTTTTGAAAACATACAGTAGATCTTTCAGTACAATGCACTATTAGTGATAACACTGTACTCACCAAGTTAATACAAGGGAAGTCAGAAAGGTCAAGAAACACAAGCAGTCATATTATCAGAAGAAACTACCAAGGTGAACAGTGAAATTATTACTAAAACTATCTGTTTTAAACATCCTTCAATTTACATTCCCACTGTTCTTGCTTGCCTCTCTTTGAATAGAATAGAAAGCCTTTATTGTCATTGTGTAAGTGCTACTCCTAATCAGTGCAAACTGAACAGAAAAAAGCAGTTAAGACAACAATCTACCAAAGTGCATGAAAAAATATTACACTTATATATATACTCATAATATTGCATGTAAGAGGCTATTGTACTGATTGACTGACTGTATTGTAATAAAAAACTTAAAAGAAATAGCAGATGCTTTCCTGAGTAAGTTATTGACAAATTGAGTCTTAAAAAGACACTGATCTTAAGGCTGCTTTTAATGCACCTGTACCTCCTGCCAGAGGGCAGGAGATTGAACAGGTGGTGACCAGGATGGGAGGCATCTTTAATTATTTTCCTGGCTCTGCTGAGGCCCCGGGAGCCGGAGAGATTTTCCAGGGAAGGCAGAGAGCAGCTGATGATTTTTTAAGCGGTTTTGATGACCCTCTGCAGAGTTCTCCAGTCTGTTGCTGAACAGCCAGTAAGCCACATGTGATGCAGTACACCACCAAACTCTCCATCATGGAGTGGTAGGAGGCCACCAGCATAGACCTGTATATAGGGGAAACTAAACAACCACTACACAAACGCATGGCTCAACACAGAAGGGCCAACTCCTCAGTTCAAGACTCTGCAGTCTACTTACATCTGAAGGACAGAGGACACTCATTTGAGGACCACCAGGTGCACATTTTAGACAGAGAAGATGGATGGTTTGAAAGAGGTGTCAAGGAAGCCATCTACACCAGGGTTGAGAAGCCGTCATTGAACAGGGGAGGGGGTCTACGCCACCACTTATCCCCCACTTACAATGCTGTCCTTTCATCACTTCCCAGGAAACTTAACAAACGTAACCTATTGGCCTCAGGTGAAGATACCAACGATGGTCGTTCAGTCTTGGCCTCGGGTAGTCTTAACGACTGTAACGACTGTCGTCACAGCAACAAGGAACACTAACGAACCAGCGGTATCGATGACCCGGGATAACGACCCCACTGAGGTTAAATAGCTGAGTTTCCCTGCCAGTCAGTCAGAACTGAAGAAGTCCTTTGGATGAGGGACGAAACGTCTTCCAGAATCTTTAACCAAGTCCATTTGCCGTTGACTTTAACCTTCTTTGGATAACTTGGACCTGAATGACTGAGAACCTTCATAGACGATATTTACCACTGTGTTTCATTTTTGCCAGCAGAGGGCTGCAGCCCCCACAACATCCCCCTTCTATTGGAAACAGGATTAGAACTTGGAAAGTGTCTTTTTTTTATTTTCTAGTCTTTCAAAGACCGTAAATTCAGTAACTGTGGCCCCCTACAAAGCATGACACTGCTCCCTAACAACTGCTCTAAAAAGGATTTATGACTGATGGAAAGGGTTGACAGTATCCCTCTGTAAACACCTAAGGCATAGGTTTTGATTTAACCTATAGTTAAAGTCAAATTTCAGCTGATATCACCACTCCAAAACTAGACAGATGTGTTGTACACGATCAGGTCTTAATTATTTTCGCATTCACAGTCACTGTTTACTTTGTGATACAGAATGATGATGGGAAGGTATGCCTCACTTCATCACTGAATTCTTCACTTATTTTTATTTAATCCTTTCATTCACTGTGATGAGTTGTAAATGTGGTGAGCGAAGGTTTGCAGTGAAGACAGCTTCTTATATGTGTGTCACTGAAAGCAACAGATTATTGAGCTTCTTCAGTTTGCTTGATGTTGTCTTCATTATCAAGTCTCTGCCGACATCAGAGTGGAGAGAACCAAACCTTTTAACACACAACTATAAATACCCATTTTATCCCAGAGGTGTTGTCAGTAGTTAACCATGACGTTGAAACTCGATCATTTGGGGATCATTTGATTATCATCAGCAATATGTCATTAACAGTGTCATTACTTCAGTTTTATTACATTTTAAGGAATACCAAATCAAACTAGGGCTGGGCAATAAAACAATAATTATCAATAACAATATATCAAATGTTCGATAAAAGTTTGATTTATTTGATTTCAATGAACGAAACAGTGCTTAATAACTTAATTTTAATCTCT